CAAACACACGCACAAACACACGCACACACACACACACACACGAGATAAAACCCAAACCCTCATGTTCCAAGCCCCCCCGCCAATTTCGTTGTGGCTCAGGTGCAACCTTGGCGACAGCGCAGGCTTCTGAGCTGATCTGGAGTTCTGTAATTTTCACTGCTGGCTATTTCTGGGTCTTTACGGAGGTTTACAGGGTTGACATGGTTTTATGATAGCAGTTTTATCAAACAGATAGTCTATTCTGCGGATATGTTCCAGTGTCATTATTTAAGCACTACTCGGGAACGCTTTATGGTGCCAACTCCTGCTCCGTTGGGCCCCACGTCGCCCTGAAATATCTATTATTTACAGGGGATAAACCCGAAGTTTATACCACGTACTTGGGTCATTATGGGTTGCGGAGCTATTCCGGAAGAAACCCTGCCGAATCGGGGCCTCGGGATCCTGGTAAACTTTGAGGGGATCTCCTTGCTTGGTTCTAATCGAGAGCTTGGTAGCCAGGGTTATACACATGGACGTGGATTGGGATTTGAGGTTCAAGGTGAGGCTGATCCGGGTTGGTGGCCAAGACGGGTACGGCTTGCGGAGCGTACCTCTCGCAAGGATTTGGACAAATGGGCCGAGGGACCACCGCGTCAACCCGAGTCCACCGGGGCACAAGCCGAGGACATCCCGGAAGCTCCCCTGCCTTTTCAGTGTCCTGTTTGCCTTGCGGCTTTCCCTTTACGCAAACACCTTGGTGCCCATATGGCCAGATCTCCTTCGATCTGGTCGCCGTCGTGCCACTTTGCGTACGACGTCTTTCTCCTGCCGCAAGTGGTTTGGCTCGATCAGGCATGTACAACAACATCTTAAGATGTCTGATTCTTGCCGTTTACGAGTCAGCCACTTCCTGCCGCCAATGACTCTGGGACAGATTGGTCGCATGGAAGAGCCGGAGACACGCCGCGAGAAGCAGCTACGTCAAGGCATCCAGCAGCAGTCAGTCATGTTCGGCCCGGCAATGCCGACCGCGGAGGAGGGATACCACGGCCTTGATTTTCTCTCGGAGGAGGTCCCGATCAGTGAGCTCCGGAGGACCTATACCGACCGACGGCAGAGACGCTGGAATGGGTTTTTTCACACGTCGGAGCTCATGCCACGCAAGGGCCGAGGACCACTTCCAAGAAGTTTTGGCACCGGCTGCATTCTGTTTCACACTGAGTTCGATTTTTTTGGGACGCGCAGCTCACGCGGCACTACGGTCCGCATCCAATCCAATACTATTCCTTTATAAGGGCTCCTCAATTGCAACTATACTCTATATATATATATATATACCCCCAGAGGTAGCTCTGAGCCCGAAACTCGTGAAGCGGCGCTCTTTGGACGGTGATAAACCGGGCCACCTGAAAAAGGACAATCTTCGATGGGGTTCATACTCTGTTCATGGGTAAAGAGGTTGACGAGGTTTTAGGGCCTTCCTGAAGTCTCTATAGGGCTTGTAGGGCTTATAGGTTGAAGGGTGCGCGATTGTTCCTCGTTGGACTTCGGGGTGACAATGCTCAAGGTTCAGGGGGCGAGGGTTAAGCCGAGGATGTTTGGAGGGGGGCGGGGGGTTTGAGGGCTGTCGCCCTGCATGCTACACCCCTGAACCCAGACCCCTAGAAGCCGCATCATAAATCCTGAGCCATCAAGTCTCAATAGTAAACCCCCAAGCCCTGAGTTTTCAACTGTTTGGAGGCGAGGGCCACCGAGTAATGACGGCGAAAGCACTGAAAGTGGTATTACAGAAGAGCTGGCCTTGGGCGTTTAGGGTTCAGTGCTTGGGGTTTCCTCCTGGGCGCACGGCCCAGTCCCTTAGGGTAGGTAGGGCTTAGGGTCAGGGGTCGGCCCGAGCTGCAAGCCAAGATAGTTCTGTACCCCATAAGTGCCTGACTAGGGAATGAGTAATTCTAGCATAAACTACCCCAAAACTCTCGCTGCGGGTTCACTTCTCGCCTGTCCGTCCCCAAACCCTTGAATTTTGTACCCCGAACATGGGGGCCTATCTTATTACTGATGCTATTCCTTGGGGTTCACAGTTATCTTCAG